ATACGTATGATGCACGATCCTCGCAGTAGATAGCGCTATTTAAGCAATAGCGAAAATCAGACCTGAAAAAAATCAGGCCTGTACGGGATTCGAACCACTGACCTCTGCGATACTAGTGCAGCGCTCTACCAATTGAGCTAACAAGCCAACTGGGAGCAGGCCGTTAAGTTGATTCGTAATAAACCCGTGAAAGTGATAAATCAGATACAATGAAATATATGAAGTTCATATATTTTGAACTGCGGTATTAGATACGTATGATGCACGATCCTCGCAGTAGATAGCGCTATTTAAGCAATAGCGAAAATCAGACCTGAAAAAAATCAGGCCTGTACGGGATTCGAACCACTGACCTCTGCGATACTAGTGCAGCGCTCTACCAATTGAGCTAACAAGCCAACTGGGAGCAGGCCGTTAAGTTGATTCGTAATAAACCCGTGAAAGTGATAAATCAGATACAATGAAATATATGAAGTTCATATATTTTGAACTGCGGTATTAGATACGTATGATGCACGATCCTCGCAGTAGATAGCGCTATTTAAGCAATAGCGAAAATCAGACCTGAAAAAAATCAGGCCTGTACGGGATTCGAACCACTGACCTCTGCGATACTAGTGCAGCGCTCTACCAATTGAGCTAACAAGCCAACTGGGAGCAGGCCGTTAAGTTGATTCGTAATAAACCCGTGAAAGTGATAAATCAGATACAATGAAATATATGAAGTTCATATATTTTGAACTGCGGTATTAGATACGTATGATGCACGATCCTCGCAGTAGATAGCGCTATTTAAGCAATAGCGAAAATCAGACCTGAAAAAAATCAGGCCTGTACGGGACTCGAACCACTGACCTCTGCGATACTAGTGCAGCGCTCTACCAATTGAGCTAACAAGCCAACTGGGAGCAGGCCGTTAAGTTGATTCGTAATAAACCCGTGAAAGTGATAAATCAGATACAATGAAATATATGAAGTTCATATATTTTGAACTGCGGTATTAGATACGTATGATGCACGATCCTCGCAGTAGATAGCGCTATTTAAGCAATAGCGAAAATCAGACCTGAAAAAAATCAGGCCTGTACGGGATTCGAACCACTGACCTCTGCGATACTAGTGCAGCGCTCTACCAATTGAGCTAACAAGCCAACTGGGAGCAGGCCGTTAAGTTGATTCGTAATAAACCCGTGAAAGTGATAAATCAGATACAATGAAATATATGAAGTTCATATATTTTGAACTGCGGTATTAGATACGTATGATGCACGATCCTCGCAGTAGATAGCGCTATTTAAGCAATAGCGAAAATCAGACCTGAAAAAAATCAGGCCTGTACAGGATTCGAACCAATGACCTCTGTGATACTAGTGGTTAGTGTTATGGTTAGTGTGTTTAGTGGTTAGTGTTATGGTTAGTGTTATCTTTCGGATATTTCATTTGACAATTAAAGACGATTAAAGCTTTACTCAACCTTTAAGACTGCTTTAGATCTGACTTATTGGCTTCCCCTAAGCCTGCTTCGTTCATATTCTGCAATTGTTCTTTCTCTTGTTACATTCCATTTTTCATTTTCTTTTGCATTCCAGCTCTTTCTGTAAAGTGTTGCGTTGTTTTAACGCAACCATTTATTTAGGACCACAGTAATACCTACAGCAAAAGGCGGGAAAAATACTGCACGTGACGATTCACGTTATGTAGACAACGCGTAACATAATTGTCCCATTATGTAATCGCACAATCAGATATGTTACATCCCCCTCTCTTTAACAAAACAACCTATAACAATTATGTATAAATGATATTAATAACTGATGATCGTGTCCATGCCTACTGCCAATGTTCATTTCATAATGTTGAAAATGTTCAGGTATCTAAACATCTGGTCTGTTAGGGGATTTTGAGGTACGTCCAGATCTTGTCGTATAGGTTTGGCCGTCCTGAGGTGGGGTAGTTGGGCTGTCTTGCGATATCGATGCTGCTTTCTCAGGAAAAGATGATGGTGGGTCTTTGATACTGTTGTCCTTTACCTTGGGTCTGGGCTTCAGCTGTGATCGAGTGCGACGGTAGATGCCTTCGGTTCGATCGTTCTTAACAATGTAGGATCTTGGTTCCTTCGCAGGTCTGACGACTGTCCCTTGTTCCCATCGCTTGGTGTGGTGGTCATAGATGTTGATGGGCTGAGCTGGTCGGAATGGTTGTAATGTCGGTCCAGCAGCTTTGTCATAGTAGCATGCTTCTAACTTTTGTCGGTGATACAGCTCTTCCTTTGTCTTGCTGGTGCTGTCGCTGACACTTACACGCTTGGGCATTGGTAGAGTTGTCCTTAGCTTGCGGTTGTTTAGTAGTTCAGCTGGTGATTTTAGGTTGCTGCTGATAGGCGTCGTACGGTATCATAACAATCCAAGATAGGGGTCTTCTCCTTCGTTGTCACATTTCTTGAGGATATTTTCTACTGTCTGAACCATGCGTTCCGCAGAGCCGTTGGACTGAGGGTACATCGGTGAACTGGTGACATATTCTACTCCATAGGTTTCCGTGAACTTGCAGAATTCCTGTGATGCGTACTGAGGGCCATTGTCTGTAGTAAGGCGTTGTGGTATCCCATGCTCAGCGAAAATGCTTTTCAGGCCCCGGTTGTTCAAAGGATGGCTAACGCTATACTCTGGATAAATCTCTGTCCGGTGGATAGCACAGTACGTTTTGTTATCACTTATCCGCTGGATAGCGATTATCCGTTGAATAGCATTATCCGCCCTTTAAACAACCGGAACCAGGTGGTTGATGATGGCACGGGACGTAGTGTTGGTACGCTTCCTGACAATTGGAAACTTGCTGTATTTGTCGGATATCAGGAGGCACTGGTTTCTTCTGAATTGGAATAAGTCTGAGCTGAGTATCTGCCATGGGTAGCAGCGTGGTTCAGGCTGTAGAATTGGTTGTTTCTGTTGCTTCCTTTGGTATCCTTGACAGGTTGCACAGTCTTGGACTAAGTTGGTGACAT